TTTCTCAAACTATTTCATCAGAACATTAGAAGTATTAACTGTAATTTAGATGGATTGATACCTGAACTAAGTAGAAGTAATGTAAGCTGGGACTGTATCGCGTTAACAGAATGCTGGCTACCGTCATCCACCAATTTGCCAACCTTGGAGGGTTATAATATTAAGGCAACTAGTCATAACCTTACACAAAACGAGGGTGTGGTTGTATATTTTAGAGACGTTCTTTCGTTCATAATTAAAGAAGAACTCGTATTAGATTGTAATTGTTTAGCTATAAAAGTCAATACCAACACTTCAGCTTTAGTAATATATAGACCTCCGGGGTATAAAAATATAGATAATTTTATTCAGTCATTAAATGATACTTTGGAAAAATACTCCTCAGTACAAAACCTTATTTTAATAGGAGACATTAATATCGACATATCCAAAGACAGTTCAGATAATAGAAAGTCCCCTTACTTGGAAATGTTAGCTTTTCACGGAATTTTACCTGCACATTATATCCCAACTCATAACAAAACGTGCCTAGATCATGTCATGTTGAGGTCAAGGTCATCAGCTCAATGTCTTGTAATTCAAACTAGTATTACTGACCACGATAGCGTAGTGTTATACCTACACACAACATTTAAATTAAAATCAACCCTAAGTAAAACTAAAGTTGATAAAATAGAACTTGGTAAACAGTTAAAAATGATGGACTTTAGCTCAATCTTTCGTACTAAAGACGCAAATATAGCAACTGATTTATTCGTTGAATCTTTACGTAAATTAATTACAACTAACACTAAAACAGTACGGCTCCCAAGATCCAAAAGAGTAATAAAACCCTGGATTACTCCAGGAATTTTAAAATGTTTGAAAAACAGAAATAATATGCATAAAAAATTAAAAAAAGAACCTAATAACCATATCCTTAAAATAACGTATAAACGATACACAAATTATTGCTCAAATATTCTTAAACAAGTGAAAAAAGACTATTATCGTCAACAATTACTAAATGCAAGAAATAATAATAAAGAACTTTGGAAAACGATAAAAGAGATAACCTGCACGAAAAAAATTCTCGAAAATCCATCTGCATTACTAAATAATAATGATCCAATAAAATCAATAAATCAGGTAAACAGTTTCTTCGCCAATATAGGAAAACAACTAGCTGAAAAAATTACAGCTAGTTCTAACTCAAAATTAACAGGACTCCCAAATAGTAATTCTAGCTCTTTTGTTTTGTTACCTACGGATTGTAACGAAGTCGAATCACTCATAAACAATCTTAAGGTTGATTGCGCTGTGGGATTGGATATGATTTCATCTGAGATTTTGATTACATTTAACGATATCTTAACACCGCCAATCACACATATCTGCAATTTGGCTCTTTCAACTGGAGTCTTCCCCATGGCCTTAAAAAAGTCAAGAATTCACCCAATTTATAAGGCGGTGACAGAGACTGTGTTAACAATTATAGACCTATAGCTATTCTCCCAACCTTGTCCAAAATTCTAGAACGTATCATAAACAAAAGATTAATGAATTATCTGGAGGCAAAGAAATTGTTATCACAGGCTCAGTTTGGTTTCAGAACTGGTAAATCCACAGCCGATGCAGTCCATGTAGTAACAGACTTTATTGTAAAAGAAATAGATAATAGAAAGAAAGTGATAGCAATATTTTTGGATCTAGCGAAAGCGTTTGACACAGTCTCTGTCTCTATCTTGATCAATAAACTTGAAAGTCTTGGTATCCGAGACCTACAGTTGAAACTTTTTAAAGATTATTTATCTAATCGCACCCAGCGTGTCCAAATTAATAACCACATCAGCAGAGAACTTCCAATTTACTTTGGGGTTCCCCAAGGTAGTATTTTAGGCCCCACTCTATTTTTGACTTACATTAATGACCTATTTCAGTTAGTCCTACCTAACATGCAGATAGTCGCATTTGCTGACGATACTGCATTGCTGTTTAGTGGGGACACCTGGGAAGAAGTTTTTTCTCATGCCCAGATGGGTTTCAATAAAATAACATCTTGGCTAAAAACAAACGTGCTGACACTCAACGTAGAGAAGACTCACTTTATGACTTTTGCCCTACGGAATAATGTACCTGATTCCTCCTATTATAACATAATATACCATCAGTGTAACAAAAATAATGAAAAATCATGTATATGTCCAAGATTACTAAAATCTGAGTGTGTAAAGTATTTGGGTGTGATGATGGACAGTAGGTTAAATTTCCAGTCTCATATTGAAATGGTAACCTCAAGGGTTCGAAAACTTATGGTAATATTTAAAAATCTTGGACACATAGGTGATGCAGGGTTAATTAGGACCGTTTATTTTGCCCTATGCCAGTCTCTACTTACATATTGCATAGTGGTATGGGGTGGAGCTGCAAAAACAACTTTCTTGAGAGTAGAAAGGGCACAGAGAGCAATTCTAAAAGTGAGTATGTCGTTACCATACCGTTATCCTACTACAGAACTCTATGAAAAGTGCAATGTGCTCACAGTGCGACAACTATATATTATTCAAACTCTTCTTAAACAGCACTCAATGTTAAAATATGAACCCCATAAATTTATTCATAAGCGGAGAAAGGACATAGTCTGTGTCCAGAGCAAGTTTAATAGTTGTTTCTCTCATCGTTTCTTCTGCTATCAGTCTTGCAACTTGTATAATAAGGTAAATAGAATCTAATCAATTTACTCTTTAACTTCAAGTAAATGTAGAGCTGTTATGAAGAGGTGGTTGCAAAAACTTAACTATATTTCCACCGAAAACCTCCTATAAATATAAATTTTGATTTGTGAGTAACTTTTGGGGTTTCATATATTTCTTTTAAATAATCAGAATAAGCATATACCTTCATACACACCAACACACACACACACACACACACACACACACACACACACACACACACACACTCACACACACACACACACACTTCACACACTCACATACACTCACACATCCCTTTTTCTTGCTCTTATTGTGCTAAGTTAAATGTTAAAATATTTCTCTTCTTTTTTATTTTTATATTACAGCATTGTATGATGAGTACCTATAAAACGAAATTCTGTAACATGCCGAGGGGTGGGGTCCTGGTGATTTGCAATACAGGTTAATCCCATTTCAAACACCAGCTCCTCACAGCATTAATATTAAGAATTTTTATGTATTTACCCAATTTAACACACTGGCGAGTGCTTATGCCTTTTGAAGCTCATGAAAAGTTTAAATAAGAGTGTAATCGGGCAAATGACATCTTGTTTCAAGATCTATAACGTCTTTTGTGTGGGTTTCCTGAATGGGAACTACGTTATTTTTTTCTATATTCAAAAGTTTATGAAGTTAATTTGACTAGGCTTTACTATCTTCTATGTAAATTTGCATGATGCAGACTGAAGGACCGCTTCTATAGTCTTTTCTAGTCTTCTCTAGTCTTTTGGCTCTAAAAAGTACCGTTTTTATGATGCTTCGTATTCAAATCCACATTCTATATTCGTAACGCCTGTTTGCGGCGGAAAGTTTTATCGCTCATTCGGCACCACCCAGGGGACACGTGCAGGGTTTTGGTATGTAACTCCTGCGGACGCGAGCAACAGATTGCCCCCTGACATCTACTTACATAAAAAATATACATACTCCTTGAATATAGAAAATCCTCCTTTCGGATTTTGAATGCATTCACAATACGCAATCTTTTGTTTTTTAGCTGAGATACATGAAACACAATACATATCATCTAAATATTTTTAAAGTGTATTTTGTTTGTTATAAAAGAAAAATTACTGATTCGATTTCGATAAAATTTAAACGGGACAACTGGGTCTAAAAGGCTGTCGAATAAATAAGAATTTTGTAAATAGATTCCTTAATTGGCCGAGTAATCGCGTAACAAACACACAAAAAAATGTACAGTCATATTGAGAAAGTCCTCATATTTTAAAATCGTTTAAAAAGTGACGTTTGGTGTGGACAAAATGTTTCTCGTGTTTGTCATGCAATGCTTGTTTATTGTAAATCTCAATTAACTCTTTAATATTTTGAGGTTTAAGTTAGAAATCAACAGCAAAGAGATATATAATAATAACCTGATTTGATACGTATTTAAGATAAGTTGGCATTTTTTTCTAATTATTTAAACATTTTTTTTGATAAACAGATATTTTTTAGTCTGTCATACTGCTTAAACTTAATTTTTTTTTTTTCTCCTCTTACATTCCCATCTAAGTCATCAATGAAGTTAAATCAAATATGAATTTACTTCTTATCAAGTACCTAAATAGGAAATCCTACTTTTAAGAATAACGAACTTTATATAAAGTTTCATCCCCCTTTTTAACCCCTTAAAACCTCTTTTTTTGCAATAAATGATAAATTATATCCTTTCCTAAGGTCATATCCAAAGAAATAAATGTTTATATCAACTCTATCTCTGATTCTGTATCAGATATCATAAAAATCGATTCAGTACTTACTCCAGGCTAAAAGCATAACAGTACTTTTACATTTATAATATTAATAGGGAGGGATATAAAAATAAAAACCTAAGAGCAAGGACATCACAACATATTTATTTAATATCACGTAATACAACATTATTTATTTACTAAATATTAGCAAATTAGACATGAAATATAAGATATGGAATATTTCAAATAAATAAACTATAATTAAATTACAGTTAATATCGATATTAAAATCAAAAACCGCTTTACACTTGATTGTAATTGCAAATGCCATTTGGTCCCATATAAAACAGAAGGACGAAAATACTTTGACTACTTACTTTCAGTCTACCGAATTAGTCTTGAATACAATTGAAGTAATTGGAACAGTTTGCAAGCGCTGCAGACTCGACAGAGTTTGACTCATAGCGATCGTAATTTAATGACTACATTATTAGAGTTTCCTTAAACCAAAACCTTCATACTTTCACTTAATTTCCTATTTTGTTTACGTACTACAGTAACAAATCACAAGTCTTCTTGGTTAACTCTACATATAGGAGTTGTCGTAGAAGCATCGGTATTTCTACACAAAGCTTTATTAATAGCAGTAAGAAGAGGAAATTTCCCTCCACCGCAGATACCGCGGAAGTCATCTGTCTCGATACTCCAGGTCTTGATGCCAGCTAAATTGAGACTAATTGCATATTCCACTTTATCTCTTATCGATTCAGGGTCGTCGTATGACACCCAGTTGGTGCCACTAAAAGCATATGGAACTTTAGCCAAGCTATCCCTTCGTATCGTCCAGGATTCTGTACGAAGTCTGCTGCAAAACTGTAAAAAAAAAAGTATGACTTGAAAACTTATTGCTATTGGTGATTAAAGTAAACAGTTTTATAAAACTACTCCTGATTATGAACGTTACCTCGTTATATCCAATGACGCCTCTGGTAAGTGTGAAAGGACCACTGATACCAGGACCGGTAACAGAAGCTCCAACGCCGTTTTCATCAGCGGAACTCAATACGAATGTGGGGCCATAGAAAGGTATACCAAGAACTATTTTCTCTGGTGGACAACCTTTTAAAAATTTTTATTTTATTATTGAATTGAATAGCTTAAAGAGTGAATTCTATAGATTAGTTATATAATTCATTAAACTATCCAGTTTAAAAAAAATGTGCAGTTAAATTATTATGTTTCATTGAAAAACACTACCATATTATTTCAAATATTGTTTAAGAAATCATCATTATTTTGAACTATGACTATTATTTTGAATAAATTTTTCTTTTAATATAATTATTTATTGAATTAGTTAATTCAAAATTATAACATTAATATGTCGTTTTAAACTTTTATGGTCGTTTATAAAATAATAATAGTTTTCTTCGGGATTGCGACCTGCACATTATTGACTCTTCGATACTTCGACACTGTATACAAGCGCCATAGTCATGGAATATTAAACTATCATTCTAATATAACTTTAATTCCAAAATTAATTCAAATAATTTCATTAACCTGATTTTAACCAATACTCCACAGCTACATCGACAGTAAATAAAGTATTTCTGTCAACACTATCATCGTGGCCTTCGCCTTTATGCAGTGGTGCATTATGAACAGTGACCTTATCCAGAGTTTCAGCCATATCGTATGTCATCAAATTCAAATAATCTACGTATCTGAAAAATATTTATTTAGGAGACAAAGCGTCAGTTAGGTGTAGTTAGTCCGCGCCGCATCGCGCTTAGGGCGATTAGGTTTATTTTCATAGATTAGCGTGACAGAAGGTCAATGAGTGGGTCTATGACCAGCCTTTAAATGTCCCCACTGCTGGGGTTCCAGCCTTCCGTATGCCAGCCGGATGGCATTCAATCGAATCGACCAAAAATATATTATCTCGAACTCTATCGTGCTTCGGAAGACCCATGCCTTTTTTAGTCACCCATTCTATAACCGGCCACTATGAAAGTTGCTTAACAACTGCATCGTAGACTGAGCGCGATTAGCCACTACGTTTTTGGGTGGGTGGGAAAAAAATAATAGAGTACGTTGTTTTAACATACAGTATAGATAAGATAATTCAAGAACACGGTATATTATTTTAACAATTACTTTTGCAGCGTATCAATGCTGGTATATTAGCAATTATATCAAAAACTAGACGTGACCGCAAATTTGTAAAACGTTCTCTCACCATTGTGAAGCAATATAGTTATAATTACTTCATTCTCGCAACAATAAATATAGCTATAATAATTTACAGTTTTTCAGACACTTATAATCAAAAGTTTTGGATAATATAAAACCTATTTGCACTAAATGCAGGATCTCAAATACCCACATTTATGCAAGATACCGTGTAGGCGTAGACCAACGATCGAGACATATATAATGCACCTGCACGAACAACGTAACATAGCAATAAACGTCAACTATTCCACTATTGTTTTATTCCCACAAAGGACATCATCAGGAACTGTCAGACCAATCGCAGAGTAATAAATGACTAATTTCTCTTTAAGATAAAATTAAACAACTCACTTTGCTATTGATGGCACATCATAAGATAATGATGCCCCTTGTTCATGTGACGCTACAGCAGCTGTCAGTATAAGACCGTGCTTATCAAATTCCTCTTTAATTTCCTTCAATAGTTGTGTGAAATTATCTATGTCAGCTCTGTGATGAACAGTATCACGGCCGTTAGGATATAACCAGTCTATACTTAACCCGTCGAAACCGTAATCGCGTAGCATTTGGAGACCACTATCGATGAAATTTTTTCGCAAAGCAGGACTAGCTGCCATCTAAAATAAAATGTATTTTTTTTTTAGTTGTTTGTTTTAATTGTGTGTAATATATGGAATTATATTAATAGAAAAATGATTAAAGGTGACTTCATGACAAAAAACTTAGAAAACTTGTCGTGTGATGTTTTACAAAGATGGTGGCGGTATTTCATGGCATTATTTAGTACTAAACTACTTTTTTCGGGTCCTATTCCTAATAACTTATTTATCGGGTAAATAATTGCACTTCATAGAACTGTTTCATATTCATTTCGAATAGAATTCTGTTTAAAGAATTTTGGTAAAATTGGTTCTCATTAAAAAGGCTTTAAACGTTAAAACCTTCTATAATCCTGTCTTTAGTAACCACTCATATATTATATTAAATTCATACTTACTACGGAAAATTTTGAAGACCCTTGACTCCACCCTCCAACAGCCAAAACGGTTTTAAGCCTGGGATTTTTCTTTTTTAAACCATTGAATTTTCTGAAATTGTCTGTAATGAAATTCACGATAGTGAAAATAAAAAAAGCAATCATTGAATGGAGAGGTAAACGTAGCGATATTAGCGTCCCTATGACTGAAGTTTTACATAAGATCTAAAAAAAATAAAAATATTTCAACTTTTTTAAATTCTCTCTAACCAGCAGCGCTACCGTAATAAAATTAGCGTTAACTTGGACATTAAGCACTGCGCTTTCACAATAGAGGTTCAATCAAATAAAATCTACTTCAAAAGGTAAGAAGGTTTTATTTTATTGAAACATTATCCCGTTCGATGCTGATTTTATTATATCATAGCATAGCAGAGATAGAGAAATCGAGAGAAATAATGCACCCGAGATAAGTGACAATTTGATGCAGACAAAACGTAACTCGAGTTTACAACATCACGTGTAGGATCATCATTAATTATCTTATTTTGCATCTGCACGAAGGTGCTTGCGATGACAAATTTTTGATCACCCATTGAACCCAGTGAACAACTTTAATAAAAGATGCATTTCCTCTGCAATTGCAGATCCAATACACCAATTATTATACGAACAATTATAAGAGCTTGCCGTTCTTACCAAATTGGCTTTTTTTAGTGGCCCCACGATTCAGGGATATAATTAAAAATGACAAAACATTACTTAATTTTTACCTCTGTTTTCAGGAAGTTCGAGATAGGGATCTAGGGATATAATCGTTCCCTCGGTGTCGATACCCGCGAATGCGTAAAAGAGATGTGTGCACAAGAATGGGTCTACATTGTCAACGGCGAAATTACCCAGACCTGGTCTGTATGCTGCCCAAGTACCATAGTAGCAAGCCACTACATCTACAAATAAAGACAATTGAATTCTCTTTGATTAAATGAGTAAAAAGTCTAATATTTACAAAAAAAAAATAATGAGCATATGAAATTAATCTGAATAATTTTTAATATCATTCTAATTTCCTGCATATAAGTTAAATGCATTCGAAAGGAAGCCAAATTTCACTAATGCTTTTATGGATATTATAAATATTAGATTAACAAAATCATGTAATACAAAAAACAATCAAATCTCTAAATTATAGTAATAATTGTTATTTCACATGTATAATACGTAGGTATTCTTCTAATTCTTATTTACGAATTTTGACCGGATTGGATTTGAACTTCAAACTTCACGACAAATTCTTACTTTCCTTTCCGTGAATTGCACCAATAGCACTTAATAACGCTAATACACCGAAAATAATCATCTTGTAACGAATTAATAAAAAAATCATCAATGCATTAAATGATTGGGATGTACTATATTTTATATGAAGGGAGATAAAAATCAAATCTTATCATGAAATAATTAATTAATAAGAATTCTATAAGATAAAGTAAGCCATTTATTCCGTATTAGATATATTAGCACAACATATGATTATAAGTGTATATCGTTTGCTATCTCTATGGAGACTAGATAATACAGAGTTGACTTTAGAACATAATTAAGATGTACATGTGACAACCTCAAACTTATGATTTCGCAAGTTTTATTAAATAAATTTTGTGAGATTCTTACTACGATTTTCACGATGATGCTATTTATATGAAAATCTGTAATGGTGCTATTTCACCGAAGCTGTCCTCTTTGCGTGTATTCTACACATGCAAACTTTTTATCTGCACCCTAATCGCTTATATAAATATATTTTTGTATACTTCCGCAATAGTGAATTAAAATTCTAATTAGTTTAAACGTCGTTCGCCCAGTTGCATAAACATCCATTAAGGTCTAATGATGATAATAATGACAATAATAACACTGTGTGATACGATTTATCTAACATAAGTACTGTTACTTATTTTGAATTACTTATTCCATTGTTATCAAAATTGCCTTGTACTCGTATTATGCATATCCATCCCGTCTCGTTTCTAAGTTACCGAGCAAGAATGATATTTATCTTCCCGCTTTAGGAAAAAATATTAAATAGTTTGTTAACTGTTTAATTTCGTAAATTATTGTTGTTTTCTTTGTTTATGGGATAGCAGAGATACCGAAAACCACTATAAAGTAAATAGTAAAAAATTTATTGAAAATTATAAAAGTCTAGGATGCGGAATGAAGATTTTTTTCCTCCTAACCTTGGAATGGTGAGCGACAAACAAAGTGACCGCTTTCAGCAGTACATTAAAAAACAGAAGAACGTTACCATGGCAAATGGAATGCTAACATGTTAGCAGATTACTGTTGGTTCGTAATACAAGAGGATTCCACAATTCATAAGTTAAAAAGTTGGTTTTCCAGAGTTAGTGCCCTTAAAAGGTGTGTAGATTTTTTTAAAATTGTCGAATTTACTTATTTTTGTTTTATTATATGTTACACTATTAATATAAAATAAAATTTTGCTTTAAAAAAAAAAAAATTTTGCATTTATTAATCTCAATACTATTTTAACCTGTCTTTTTTTTTAATATAAGACGAATATCTGTCATAACTTTTAAATTATACCTGATACACAAATTCTGCTTAGAGATTCTTCTTCAGCATGCCAATATTGAATGAAAACAGCTACTTTCGGCAATGTTAGAAAAAAAAATTCATACAGTGTAATTAATGTTTTAAATTAAAAATAAAATAGAACATTCATTAGAGCTTAAACTCATCATTAAACCTTAATGGACGTTTATGTAACCGAGGTGCGAGCGATTTCTGTGGCCCATTTTCATTGAAAGAAAATTTCTGCGACCCATTTTAATGGTTTATCGGCCAACATTAGATAGATAGATAAATTATTTATTTCTTGCCAAAATACACACACGCATTACATTTCATTCAACAGAAAAATAAATATTTAAATATGTAGATGACACAAATGAATATTAGAAAAAAATATGTGTGTGAGTTACAACAGTACACAATGGTCCCAGCTCAGCGTCAAGTATTCACACGCATGGAATGGGAGCAAGGCGCTGATTTTCAATTGCAATCAAGAGTGAACGCAGACACGGTACTAAAACTAACCAGGATTTAATTTCAATGAAAATCAGTTAAACCATCCTAAATTTTATATTTTATAGATAAAAAATAAATAATATAAATAGAAAAACATAAAATTCATTAGTAAATATTTATTGAAAAATAATTACTATACTCATTATAAAATTCAAATCAAATTATTATATTATTAAAATCAAGTTAAATTTTATAATTAGTTATTATCATTAATAAATAATACATTTAAATCAGATATGTATATTGTAACAATCAATAAGTTAAATAACACAAAAATATCACGTTTCCGCTACCTGTCAGAGTGTTGGGACACCTAATTTTTGTTTATCTAGCAGATGTGACTTTAATATTTTTTTAAAACAATATTAATTTTCAACAACCTTAGTGGCGGTGGGATATTATTCCATAAATTAGTTGCGTGGTAGCGGAAACTGCCAGTAAATGCCACAGTACGGTGTTGGTGAAATATGAAAGGTGGTCGTATTGATTTCGTTGCGTAATTACGCGATCTCTTTGAGGTACAAAAATTCAATTGTGAGAAGAGGTAATCGGGACTTTCAAATTTTATTCTATCGTATAAAAGCGATGCCACATGTAAATGTCGACGTGATTCCATATTCAATATTGATTCATTATTAAGTAATGGAGAAATATGAGAATGTGGTGGTACGTTAAAATATAATCTAAAGCAAGCATTTTAAACTCGCTGTATCAGTATTTGAGATTTATAAAGGAAACGTGGTCGATAAACAAGATCTGCATAGTTAAGTCTGAATAGAACTAATGCCTCAACAATATTAATACGAGCATTCTGACATAGTAGATCACGTATCTTATACAGGACCTTCAGCCTGTAGAAACATTGTTTGGCCAATACCTTAACATGACCTTCAAAACGCAGCTCACTATCAAAGTGAACACCCAAATTTTTTGCACTGTCGACACGTTCGATTATATGCTGGTGTATTGTAATATGAGGAGATCTGTTAATGATCTTCTTTATTTGGAATTTAGAGCCTATGACCATATTTTTAGACTTATTTGGGGCAAGCATAAGGCCATTTTCAGTACACCAATGGCTATCTCCTCCAAATCCTCATTCAAATATCGAAGTGCACGCGCTATTCTATAAGGATGCTCAGATATGTACAATTGAATGTCATCGGCATATAAATGATAACGACTATGCCTTATAACCCTTGTTAGATCAGCACTGAAAATTACAAAAAAGAAGAGGCCCCAGAATGGAGACATAAGGTACGCCCTGACTCGTACGTGAAGAGATGATAGCAGTTCCATCCCGTCGTAAAAGCTTGACGGACAGATATCTATTAGTCAAGTAACTAATAAAACACCTGTCCGTATGAGCGTCCAGTCCGTAGTAAAATAGTTTTGAAAGCATGAGACATATATTAACACAATCAAAAGCCGGAGAAAGGTCAAGAAGAGCAAGGATGGAACCCCTACCGACATAAGATTCTGCCAGTAGATTGTCGCTAACATCAAGCAAAGCCGTAACTGTTCCACGACCTTTGCGAAATTCAAATTGGTGTGACGGTAGCAATTTTATTGTCTCTGCATAATCGTACAGTTGGCTATATACAACCTTTTCTAATATTTTATAGAGAAACGGAAGTATACTTATGGGTCTTAGTTCTTTGAATTCGCAGGGTAACTTTAGGCGTAGGAGTAGCTAGCGCCTTCTTCCATTGACCAGGGACTACTCCTGTACATATGGATTAATTAATGATGTTGGTAATCACTGTTAACGTTCTAGGTAGAGTTAAAAGAACCATATCTCTGCTTATATAATCTCTGCCAATAACATTGGATCTAGTGGACATAATATACCTAGAGATCATTAATTCATCGACTGGTTGGAGCGTAAAAAAAGAGTCAGAAAATTGGACAGATTCAAAGAAAGTAATATTAGTCGACGTGATAGTATTTTGCACAGGCACATCCAAAAAATATTCATAAAGAGACGCAGGATCACAAAAACAGTCAGGTAAACAATCATTTTTACTAGGATCGATTTAAATATTTGTTCAATAGAAGCATCCAAGTTTTTTTATATATCGAACATGTATATTTTTTTTTTATATAAAAGCTACTCCACCTCCCCGCCCCCTACGCATGTGTTGTGGGCGTGGAGTAAAGCGCAATCGGTAACCAGGTGGAGCAGGAGCACGCATTTCCTGTCCAGCCACCAGCCATGTTTCATTGATGGCAAAAATATCACTCCTAAAGCGGTCCATAGCCACCACGAACTCGTCATGGCCAGTGATTAAGGACCCTGCATTTTATAAACATAAATTTAAAAATCTATTGTTGTGTACCATAAATTGTTTTAATTAATATTAGTAGTATCATGCGATAAAGGCCATGCAAAAAATATTATATAAAGTAAATACCACAAAATAAATTCATTCTTAAATAAAAATACTTAATAAAAAATAAAAAATAGTAAAATCAATTCATAATTAATTAATAAATAGATAAAAAAGTAAATCGATAGATTATTTAATACAAAACAATACAGATCAATCTCACTAATTTCAATCATTATACTACGCGGCGCACACCACACTTACAAAATGTTGTATAGGACTACTACAATTAGAGAAAAACTGTATTATTTAGTTTATAAGCTTTATAAACAAACTACTAACATTATTACAAAATACATCTAGATAGCGTTAAGGCATAACAAGCTTAATGACATTGTAATATACTGTATGTGAAGCACAAATTAAGACAAAGCAAATAAAAATATAGCATTACTCTGCATCTGCCGAAAATAAAAAAACTTCTATTATATACTTCCTTCCTTCCTATATATTGTATTTTATAATTAGTTGAGATATAACGATTCGTATGAAATATATAAATTGCTTTTCTATTTTTTCATTATTTTAGTGAATATCACATTCCACATTATAAATAACAAATTCAAGGACACATATAGCATATGTATAAAAATTAATGTATGTAATTCTTTAAAAACAATAGCTATTAACAATGTGAGAAGGATATAATTTATAAATATTTTATACATTAGTTCGTCATATCACCTGAAGTTGTCACGTAGTTAACATAAATAAAAACCGATGCGCCGCAGGGCTATCAGCAACAGTGCCTAGACAAAAACGACATTCTGTGCAATTTCTAAGACAATAAGGTATTGTGATGTAAGCCGTTTCTGACACCCTACTGCTTTCTCATATACTATTTCTAGTAAATGGAATGTCACTACCGTATTTTTGTACAACTACATCTAGCCTACCTTCTATTTGCTAGCTAATCGGGGTTCTCGAAAGGAGAAAAGATAAAGAATTTGGTGGCGTACCTGATCAAACTCACGCCGGTATATCTTACTTATCTGGATTTTACAAGAAAGGTCCAGGCCCAATAGTACCCGGGAATAAAGGGTGACGCTGTCAGCGGGAAGAAAAATACTAAAAGTGAAACACCCGTTAATCGGCCATAACTGGGGCATTAGCCCGATATCCAAACTTCTCTATGTGCTTTAATTAATAATCTGTTATCACTTGAAACTCAATAGGAAATCGCATTACTTTAAAGATATGACGTACTACATATATTTTTTTAATAAAGTTAATGAACATCTAAAGTAGACCGACTGATTTATTTCGCAAATTTAAACAAATATGTAAACGATTATTGACCACGTTATCATGCATAGATTTAAATCAAATAAAACCTACTTGAAAAGAGTTTTGTTTTTATCTTTGAATTTTGTTATAATATGATGCATTGATAAGATTAAAAACTGGCTTGAGCCAATTCAAAACAGTATTTATTGGAATCATAATATCAGAGTTAAATATTTAGTTTCAAACTCATAATCTACGTTAATAAGAAATGTTTCCGTAATATTGTCATGTAGCGTATAAAGTATATATACTTCTATAGGGTATTTATCATAGTCAACGCCTGTGCGATTCTGATAAAAACAGCCTCAAACTCGACTCGACGTACAGCATAGAGCTTCAATGGAATTCAAAGCGTTGCTTCTATACCTAATAAACCCGCTGCGGTAGGGTTTAGGATCCAGCAAAGTGCCTGACGAACCAACTATCGATCAACCTACCTCTTGCAGTTTTGACTGTATCAATAAAGTCGATGTTGATTTTAGTAATTTGTTACCCTACGAAATGCAGCTAGAAACACAAAATGAATCTAATGAATAATAAAACTAAGTATGTGGAAACTATTTAATTAAAAAATATATTTTTATCAAAACAAATGGAAATCTAGATTAATATAATATAAAGTATTTACAACTACATACTTATAGTAAAACTAAAATTGGATTCTACACCTATTCTTCTTTCAACCGCTTCTTTCAATCCGCTCAATTGATGTTAAATACATTTGAATCACAAATACAGCTGTAAAATCAGTAAAACTATAAATAAAACCAATAAATATGTCAAAGTTATTATTATAAACAAAGGAAACTTTACGTAATGAGACATCATAATAGCTTATATATATATAACGGCGGGTAGTCAGAAGGGCCTATTACGAAGCCCAAATAGACCGTCCATTTCGGACGACTATCTTTAAAATAACACTGCAGGCGTGTATAACAACGTGGATTTGTTCCATTTTATCACTTTTCATATGAAAATATAACGAGATAAGCGTGATGTCGTCAGATGTCTTTACTCCTCGGCGTTCGGAAACAGAATGTGTGCCAAAATGGCGGCAACTTGTTTTTTGTTAACGAACTGTCAAAGTCAGTGTCACCATTCTAATAAAATTAAAAGTATCGATGATCACGCTCGAGTCATCATAATCGAGCAATTAAAATAAAAGAAACTTAATAGTCAGAAGGGCCTATTACGAAGCCCAAATAGATTGTCCATTTCGGAGATTGTCACTATCTTTAAAATAACACTGCAGGCGTGTGTAACAACGTGGATTTGTTCCATTTTATCACTTTTCATACGAAAATATAACGACATGAGCGTGATGTCGTCGGATGTCTTTACTCCTCGGCGTTCGGAAACAGAATGTGTGCCAAAATGGCGGCAACTTGTTTTTTGTTAACGAACTGTCAAAGTCAGTGTCACCATTCTAATAAAATTAAAAGTATCGATGATCACGCTCGAGTCATCATAATCGAGCAATTAAAATAAAAGAAACTTAATCAAACGATCTTGGTAATGTGACAAATATCCTTACTCATCAAATGAAATAATAGAATTTCGGCAGACTCAACAGAGAAAAATACTATCATCCCAAAACACTCTTGTTAAGTTAGTTTAATTTGAACATGACATTTAAGTTAGATAGTAAAATATGATACAATCGAACTTAATGGAGGTTTCAAGAAACGAAGAGAAAACTCAAAAGCAGCAAACGCGATAATATATCCTAACATATTATGAAACAAAAACACCATGCCATGAGAACGAGTCTTAGCCTCAAGTATAATTTATAAAGATAATTACCATAGATAATAATGACGTTTTAATCAATTCACATTCGCTTTAAAATTAAGATTCAATACGTAGATATCTGGATATAATTTAATTGATTGGTATCTTAGGAGACTTATATGAATGGCGTCGTTTTATTATATAACTTTATTCTTATAAAAAATAAAAATCTTTACGTCAATAATATTACCATTTAGTACACACGTCTCCCTGCAAGTAACTATATAATTATACTATACAAGTATATATGTCAAATTTCCGCAATTGATTTTGAAAATCCTCAATTTATTAAAATTTAAAATCAAGAACATTTTTTAGTCTTACGTGCTATTGATTTTACAATGACATCTTGATTAATTTATGTTTTAGTTATTCTATAATCGAGTAAACCAAAAGTAGCAGTAGTATTCTATTTAAATTATAGGCTTCAAAAGAGAGTTGTCAGAGTATGAGAGGTTCGATCAAATTAAACCTACTTCGAAAGATCATAAAGGTTTTATTTAATTATTGAACCTCTGATGCGACTGCGCTTTATTCGACGCTGTATTTCTAAAGATCGTTTTATTGAAACGCCACAGACATGCCTTAATGGCAAAATTGAAAGTCCTGTCTGAATATCATAAACTAAAGCCTATAAGTTCAATAGTTTTATCAAATAAATTCTCATGTGACTTTAACCAATATATGAAGTTATTGGTGAAAATTTTGTAAGTACATTATTCATTATGATGTATGAATGACTGTATGAATTGACTGAAGAATAACCTTTATTTGGTGATATCAGAAAAATCCTGCGATCTAGTAGATTACCGCCTTTAGTGTGGTCTAAAAGGTTTTGTCACCGCCGCTTCAATGTTGCCAATGAGCTTTAAATGTAGGTGTGCAAAAATCGAAAAAATCGTCTAACGCAATTATATTCATTAGGTAAATATCAATCATATCAATTTTGTTAGGTATGTATGAAATAATATATTTTATTTCCCTATAACACTGTGACGGGTTCGGTGCTTCGTTGGTGGTATTAAATGAAACGGCTATATTAATGGTGTAAAAAAAATCCGCTTTTGGATTTTATTTTACATATATGTAATACATTAAGGTTTTCTAAGATATATTCACTTTAAACATAATTGATTAAAAGCAGTTAATTAAAATAGTTTATCATTACACTCATGTTATGTATCTATCTGTCGAAGTTTTGTACTGACATTCAGAAAGAGCACTCAAAATTTCATATTACGAAAAATTAATAAAAAAATAAATGATGTTAAAGATCAAAGGCAAAAAGTTCCAATAACAATAATCTAGGATAAAATAAACGTACCAAACAGTTTTAAAAATATTATACGTAATACATCAATCAATAATCTGTTTTTTTTTTTTTTAATTTATTCGTAATCGTTTTGGACAGGATGATGGTCAGTCAACTTTCGCCTATTTTATTATATAACTTCAGAACTATTTATTTCAAAACTACAACAAAATATACATTAATTTATTATGATACACAAAATATAGGTATCTTATTAGTTTATTACCCAAAAAAGCCACCTTGTCTCAAATTAACTTTGATAAGTGTAAAAAATTTCAATAATTGTCTTTGGCTTTGATACATGTACCAAATTTCATTTGAATTTTAGTACTCGAAGTAATCAGCTATGACAGACGGATGGCGAGACAAACAGACACACTAAATATAATATGAGATAATATTAGTATAGACTAGATGCCTCCGTATACTACATGTCACATCTCACCGTTTAAACTTTCTCTGGACTAACAATTCAAAATCCAAATCACCTAAATCGGCTCAGCCGTTCTTTTCGACTTTAGATTTTTATAAATTAGATTGAAAATATATTTTTTAATTTCATTTCTTTAAAGGCGTGTACATTCGTACATACTGATATCTGATATGAATATCTTAAATAGATATCAGATTAACATAAAGATTTAATGAGTAAGATATTAAATTGTATTTTATTTACAAAATATAAAGTTAAGGTAAAAGGAAAATTATATAGATAATTAAACTACTTTTAGTATCTTTAAAATTAATTTTAGAACTTAAATGACGCATTGAACTTGATCTTTGTAATTACAGTAAAGGTTTTTTTGGTCCCAGTACAAAGTAGGAGGACAAGAGAATATTATTGCTTTTAATCCGCCAAATTGATCTTTAACGCATTGGAAATAGGTGGAACAGTCTGCAGGATTTGCAGCGAATCCTGCATGTTTGCATACAAAAGGTGGTGACGCTGGTGACGCTGTAAAAACCAATAAAATATTTGACACACTGCAAATAATTATGGAGTTAAATAGAAACCAGTAGTCACCACTTTAAAATAACAGTTAATCCAATTAGGATTGAGATAGGACAAATTTGACTTTGTAATTATGAAGAAAACAATAGAAGGAAAACACACGTATTTCCGGATTTTGATTTCAGAAAAATGTGGTAGGTACTTTAACATAATATTTAAGCCATATTATTTTGCACGATATCAGCTTAACAAATTCAAAATAATGAAATCATAAACATTTACCAGTAGTGGTAGTAGTTAATGCTAGAGTTGTACTTGCGCTTGTCGTCTCAGGGTAGTTTGTTGGTTTACTTGAAGGAGTCGTCGTAGAAACACCGGTGTATCTATACATAGCGTCATTTATAGCAGTTAGAAGTGGGAATTTCCCTCTACCACAGATATCATTGAAGTCATCTGTCTCAATACTCCAGATCATAATGCCAGCTAAATTGAGATTATATGCATATTCTACTTTATCTATTATGGATTGAGGGTCATCGTATGATACCCAATGAAGGTCTCTAAAAGCATATGGTACTTTCGCCAAGTTATCTCTTCGTCTAGTCCAGGATTCTGTATGAAGTTTGCTGCAAAACTGTTGTCAAAAACGTATGACTTTAAAATTTTTGCTACTATTGAGTTATAGTAATCTTACACAATTTTAAACTTTACCTCATTATACCCAATAAAGCCAGAGGTGACAGTAAAAGGGCCATTGATACCAGCGCCGGTAACAGGAGCTCTAACACCATTATGATTGGTGGATTTCAATGTGAATGTGCGACCATAGAAAGGTACACCGAGAACTAGTTTCTCCGGTGGGCACCCTATAATATATGGACAAAAAATATGTTATTTTGTTGATAATCTGATATCATCAATATAACAATATAAGATATTAATTTAAAACATTATCAAAATTATTAGTGTCTTATGTTAAACCTGATTTTAACCAATATTCCACAGCTACATCGACAGTAAATAAAGCGTCTCTATCAACACCATTATCGCCTTCTCCTTTATGCAGTGGTGCATTATGACCAGTGAGTGGATCCCAAGCTCCATACATGTCATATGTCATCAAATTTATGTAGTCCAAGTGTCTGAAACCAAATTTTTGTTACAAGATTTAAAACCATGACATATATTTCACAAATATTTTTCAACTTCGCTCAAGAGTTGTCAGAACAATCAATGACTTACAAGAGAATAATAAATATTAACTTGTTTAATCAACTCACTTTGATATAGATTGTACATCGTAAGATAGTGACGCCGTTTTTTTATGTGCAGACACAGCAGCGGTTAATATTAAACTGTATTTTAGAAATTCTTCTTTTATTTCCTTTAGTAGTTTTGTGAAATGATCTACATCTGCTTTACCATGAACTGTATCACGTCTATTGGGATACTCCCAATCTATATCCAAACCATCAAAACCATAATCCAAAATTGTTTTGAGAGCACTCTGGACAAAATTCTTTCGTAAAACAGGACTAGCCGCCATCTAAAATGATATGTTACTTATTCTTATTAAGTTTAAAAAGTACTTATTTATTACAACACGTGGCATGACGTGCGTAGCTATGTAGTTTTCAGGCTTGTTGCTTAATTATTTGCACTATAAACTTCGCTTTTTACTCGTTTTTATAACTTCTTACTCGTTTTATCCAGTGATCGAGCCGCAGTTAAATATCACTTTTTATATGACTGCTTTAAAAGTAATTGTAGTATATTCTTGGTCGAGTAGCTGGCTTGTTGATTCTATAGTATTGCATTTTCTAAAAATCCGAATCCAATTTCCAAATGAGTCTATTCATAAACTTTTATATTTTATCTGGTTTGGGTTTGTTTAATTATGGTAACTTCTTTTTTATGATCTTCATCATACTCACAATAGAATATTTTGAAGAACCTTCGTTCCAACCTCCGACGGCCAAAAGGGTTTTAAGTTTGGGATTCTTCTTTTTCAAATCATTGAATTTTCTGAAGTTATCTGTAATAACCGAAAGTAAAAATTTAAATAAGAAAAGACATTACCGCCTATATAACAGAGAAGCAAATGATTTCATATTTCTTGTTTTGCCTAAATCAAATTCCTTATCGGCCTCGTGGGATTTATATTTTTGTGTTATACCTTCTCATATGTTAATATTAATAAAATATTCCGATATCTAATTTCACCTTTGTTTTCAGGAAAGTCAAGATGTGGATCAAGGGAAACAACTATTCCCTGCGTGTTGATACCCGCGAACGCGTACATAAGATGTGTGCACAGAAATGGATCTACATTGACCACATCAAATTTTCCCAAACCTGGCCTGTATGTAGCCCATGTCCCGTAGTAACAGATCACCACTTCTACAAACAAAGAGAATTGGATTTTATTCCCAGCTAGAGAAAAGGAAATATTATTTTTACTATTTTCATTTAAATTTCTCCAACATTTAAGAACTTCAACGAATATATTAAAATGGCTGAATCAGTCCAGATGTTTGCTGTCGAGTTTTGTATTTAGCAATACATTATTTATTTATCTATCGATATATTTTATCTATAGACAAAATATCTGGTATCTACCGATATTGAAGGTTATTGTACTTTTAAAATTGTTCTAAATCATAAGTATCATTGTTATAAGCTAATAATATACTATTAAAGTAACTTTATAAAAACTTGTAAGGATGAACGAAACACTTTTCAATATTTCACAGCATGCATTCTTATTATGATCATTTTTGGGCATTTGAACATATGTTCTTGCGAATCACAATAAATTCTTACTTTCATTCGAGTATACTGCGTTAAAACCAATCGATAACACTAATACAATATAAAACATCATCTTGAAATAAACTAATAACAAAACCTCAACGTACTAATCGATTTGATCATTAAACATATGTATATAAAGCGGTTAAAATCTTATCATGGATTAAATGATTTAAGTATTTAAGTATTATAATACGGTTAAATGATATGAGGAATTATTTCATAGTTTTATGATCTTATCAATATACTTACAACAATTAGTTACAATTAGTATGAGAAGCTTTATAACTACTGTATTTATTATTTTAATTCCATAGCGATATTGATATGTAGTAGAGCAACTGGCAAAAAGACTTACAGAAAATAAAGAACGGCTAAATGCGAAATAATGTGAATAAAAATGTATCACAGAAAAAAAAAATGTAATTGTACATGCACAAAAGGCTAACTTATTATCAACATTATTATGATGACATAATTAGAGTAATTTTTAAAAAATTTGTTTGTTTATAAAATTTAGCCAAGTCAAATCTTGAATTCTATTTACGGTTGTCCTTTAGAACGTCGCAACCGTATTCATGAAGTCGACGACGACACATATTTTTAATATATTAAATATTAGATATTAACACATACATTTCTCAGATCCCAAAAGTAGCTAACGTCCACGTATTATAATTGAATAAAACAAAATAAAAGAAAACCAAGCCGCCACAACACCCACATCCTGAGCCAATATGAATCGAACCTGGGTCCTAAGATATAACGAAACCCTGAAACAAACATATGAACCCCACGGTCACGGAAGTCGCCAATATAGTTCAATTATTGGACTTAACTCATATCTCAGATAAGTGAACACAGATAATCTTCACGAATATGCTTCCAAAATTTCGTTCGTGGACAAACAGAGTATACTTTTTGAATGTTCTGAAAACAACATTGCTAATCGTCAACGCAAATTTTTAAGCTTAATAATCACAATTTCAATTACCTAAACATCTTATCAACTACTAGTGGCCGCCAGCGACTTCGTCCGCGTTTTCCATTATTTCTTCGCTCCTAATAGTTGCAGCATGACGTTATATAGGCTAAAGTCTTCCTCGATAAATGGTCTATTAAACACAAAAAGAATTTTTCAATTAGAACCAGTAGTTCCTGAGACTAGCGCGTTCAAACAAACAAACAAACTCTTCAGCTTTATAATATAAGTACAGATTTCTACAAATGTTATTATGAATATGAATGATATCGGCGGCACCCTTTGTATAAAATATTATTTTATTGATTACTTTATGATTATATATTTTTTTAATGACAAATACATTTATAGCTTATTTTTAATAGCATCGTACATTCCAGATACATCATTCATCAATTTTATTCGCTGCTTACTAATGTTATAATAAAAGAGATAAGATTAACTAAAAATATCGCATTAAAAGTGTGAAGTAAACATATTCTTTCTGTACGACGAAGCCGTACACTTCCGATGCATCATGTTAATAATAACCCAATACACTCATAATTAAGAAATTACTTTTATATAATTCAGCTCTCAAATATGAGCCTTTCAAGTCATGCGTACACACGTCAGCTTGCACCCTCATTAATTAATCTCTCTAGGATTTTTATCGCAAATATATAACAATTTAAAAAATCTTTCAGTATAATTTTTTCAATTTTTTTTTGGTTTTTCAGAAGGTCTATTAGATGCTTTGGATTTATGGGGGAACTCGAGATATTTTTTAAGATAATTCGGATTGTTTCAGGCGCTATGGCAACAACTTGGACTGAAATATACGTATTCGTCATCATCTTATTAAGAGACTAAACTAAAAATTACCATGTAACAACGCTTATGGGAAACGTTTAAAATACAATTTATAATCATTCTGATATATATATATATATATTTGTATTTGTGTTGTATTTTTAAAATAATCGTTTCATTATATTTCTTCGCTTCATTCTTTAGCCCCATTAGTTACCCATGTGTTACCGCGTGGCTAAAAGGTCTAAATGCACTTATATAATATCCATCGAGCTTCACTTATTAAGTTCATTTGATAATAGAAAGAGGAAAACCATGATTGTTTATTTGTTTGCATCGAATAGACTCAGAAGTAATTGGACCTCTATTAAAAAAAATCTTCATCTACGGGAAGCGGGGATCATACAAACATGACATAAGCTGTCATTAACGCAGGCGAAATTTCTCGCATTTTATGTTTTACTTAATTTGGGTAATTAGCAATAGTCTTGAATAATCGGTGGTGAAGCGCAAGAAAGCCACATTATAGAGTTATAATTTTGAAGTTAAGATGAATACATCATAGACCGTTTCACATTAATTTCAGTTAACACAGTACTTATATGTGATTGAAAATGATTTCAATTATCTATTTAGATTGAACCATAAACGTAAATGACTCTATATTATAAAACTTGATAACGATGACTAAATTATATGGTAGGAAAATAAATATCGCATGACCTAAAAATGAATGACACGAACCAAATAAAAAGGTTGACAAATTTAAATACAGAAAAACGATTGGTAATTTATTATTTATGATAATAGTCTAAATAGATTATGGATATTTTATCGTTTAACGAGTAATATGTCATTTGATTTGATTACAGTCTAGATAAAGAAATGCAAACAAACAATACGCAGAAGACGGTAAATGCTATACGCAATTTATGTGTGACATGTCAGTGCACGACTGCTTGAAAACTGTCAATGTATTTAGAAATTATCCTAAATACCTTACACACTACGCAAACCCAGTGAGGATCGGTGTGTGTTAATGGTAGTTGCAGTCGGGATCATCGTCTCGATATATAAAATTTTGCTCACCCATCCTGTGACGAAGCCCAGCAAAAGTTGCTTAATTTCTATTCAATTTTTCTGTATGTATTTTTTTTTCCTGAGTGCAGTTACGTGCACACCTACTATGCTATCAAGATAATACTTACTGTTATACCGCTGAAAAGCGTGAAAACACTAAGTCCTTAATTATGTTACGTTTTCGATAATAAACAAATATCGACAGCCCTCGTAGTCAGTTAATCAATATATAATATTAAGAAATAGGCCGACTCAATATTTCTATGTTCCATCTGGCAAGCATTAACTTTTTGCTTTATGGAATGCCAATTTTTCTAAAAGAAAATCACCAGTTCCTGTGCCCAAGATGGGATTCGAACCTTAATAACATTTCGCAATCCGTGCAACTGCTCTAACCTAATATAAGTCTGACCCTCGAATATCTAAAACACTTGTTACTTTCGCTACTTCTGCTTTTCATCAGTGTTCAGGTAAATCCACCTAAAGCGCCGAGATAAAAAGATTTACCGAATACAGTTAAATTGATGTCCCGAACAATGTTAAGACTGTAAAGACTGAAAGACTAAACATGCTATGGACTTTAGAATATTTCTTTAAATTTAGTCAATCATTTCAATCAATCTATTATCAGCTACATACTCGTATTACTCCGAATAATTAATGGCGTTTCAAATTTAAAATCTAACGGATTTCAATAGTTCAGAATATTTATAAAATATTAAAACTACTTATCTACTATAAGCTATGGCTAAAACTGTACTAGATAAGCAATAACTCCCAAATTATTGCCAACAGGTAAGGTGTCCAGAAGTCTGCGAGTGTTTCCTCTTTTAATAGCCAAACTTATTCTTTGGGAGAGGTACAAACCAGCTTTCTGATCACCAGACCTGTCAAAAACTTTCTTTTTTTATTTGGTTCATTTGTCCCCCTTGTTTGGGACGCGCAAAGGATGTTAGGTTCATACAGCCCTGTCTGGATTTTCTTAATCTTTAAATTTTTTGAACTGTAGTTATGACAAATCTGTATACAGGAACGTAACTGTCAATGTTTGATGAGTTTTCTTAAGTCGCGCGGGATGGTTTCCTCGTTAAAAATCTTTATTCTTTGTAATTTTTCTTTGAGCTTTAAATGAAGGACATTTGAAAAAGATATGATGTAGTGACTGGTTCTCCATGTTGCTGAAGTCATAAATAGGTGAGTTAACAATCTTAAATCGATACAAATGATCTTTGAAAAGGCAATGGCTTATTCTTAATCTGCTTAAGATAGTGTAAAAATCTCTCGAATTGTAATCACCCTTGTCAAACCATAAGGTACTGATATTCTTCTGAATTTCACCAAGCTACTGTCATTTTTCTTGCAGAGATGATTTGTAGACAATATTATTTCTTAGCTCGGTGGCGCTACGGATAAGCGCCGTTGCGCACGATCGCTATTGCTAAGCAACTTTCGAAAGAGTTGTTCACGAGATGGGTGACCAAAAATTATTAAACAAAGGCCTAAGACTCTGCAGTTTGGCTGTCAAAGAGTTAATGATGATGATCAATATATCAAAGACGAAAATTTAATAAAACAGTTAATATTTCATAGCAATTTTGGCGAACACGTCACTTCAAATTGACATAACTTTTTTATATGTGAACCGATTGAAATAAATCTTACACTAAATGTTAACGGAAGAATACTGCAATATAATAGTGAAAACATTTAAATCGGTTCAGCCGTTTCTGAGATTATCGTGCACAAACGCACAGACAAACAGACAAACCGACAAACAGACAAAAATTTTAAAAATCATTGTTTTGTGTTCTATTACGCTTATAAATGTCCCTCATAT